CTCCTCCTGTACCAGTCAGATCTGATTTGACGGTACACTCACACAAAAAATAAAAAAAAAATAAAAATTTTTTAAAAAGTTATTTTTTTCATCAGAAACATAAATTATATGCTAAAAACTGTTTGTACATGTACAAAGACACAATACCCTCTGATCATATTTTAAATGATACAATGAATATCAGTAAATGTGTCATTTATTAGTCTCTGGTTTATGAATCAACTTTCTGGTAACTTTTGATCAAAAAATTTAGCAACAACTAAAGTGAATCTGTTTTTTTATACCAAGTGGTCTGTAAATAGCACAATAATTTCCATCTCTTCTAAAAGATGTTTCCAAGTGAGCAAAGCAAGAATTAGGATATAGCCACATGAAGTGCAGTTTAACTAGTAAACCTTTGTCCAAAGTTTCTCTTTAAAAATTTCCAAAAATCCTTGTGATCTTGTAATCCCTTCAATCCTACTATAACCCAAAATACACTCTCTTCTAAATCTTGCATGGAAATCCTACAGATTGGACGTATTTGAATAACATTAAAAGATGCTTCCTAGACCTTCTTTTAATTTAATGCATAATGGTACATAATTGTATGATAAATATATAACTGCATTTCTAAACAGGAAATTGAGCTTTGTCTCTATTACAACTATCAAGAATGAAAAAGCAAAAAAAACACCCCTCCTCTTTTTTCCTCCCCTGTGGTACAGAAATGTGTTTCCTATAAATTGTGGTTTTGCTAACAAACTAAATCAGTAATGTGTCATGAGTTAGTTTAAGTGAAGTCAAAGACTTTTCAGTATGAATCAGTGTGCTCCAACTGTATGCCAGCACAGCAATCTGTGCATCCGGCAAACTCTCCCTTCTTTCTATAAGCTGTAGTAAAATATTAATGCTCTATAAAGTTGTTTTGATTAGAAATTTTAGGTTCTTTTTAAAAAATGTATATATATTCTCTAAAATTTATTGGAGGGTATGCAATAATGACTTAAGAAAGTATCAGCTGACCTGTGACTTGGCTCCTCTAAAAGAAGACAAAACCTGAACGACTGCTGACAGAAACATCAAACATTCCAGAAACATGTGCTCACCACTTGGGCATTTATATCAATACTAAGGAATGCCGGAAAGAATTTAGTCTTGGATATGTCATATAGCATGGTTGCATTTTAAGAACTGTAATTATATCTCATTTACAAGTCTAACTTATATATTCTATTTTAAGAATTTTGTCATTCTAAAGTGTTGTGACATTGTCTGGTGGAATATTTTCTTTGACTCTAATTTGGAACACCCTGTAGTCAGCAGATTAAATATATTTTAGGTTTGGAGTACAGAAAAAATAGATTATAGGGGAAGCCCCTTGGAGTAAAATGTAAAGATATTTTATTGAGTATTTGATAGTGAATGACAATGTTAAAAAATGCATTGAGTTGGCAATTAGCTATGTTACAACAAAAACAAATCATAAAACAGACCATAAAACAAACAATCAAAATGAGGAAGGCTTAAATTTCCATCTGCAGAGAATTGCTTCATTATTATTTACCCATAATATGGAATACTGTATAGTCATTACAAAGATGAGTGATAGCCATGTGCTAAAACTATGAAAAATTCTCATGGTACAGTGTCATCTAGGCGAAGAAAGTGGTAGACCAATATGTGTTAAAAGTATACATTACAAAATAGGTAGGTAGTGATCTAGTTATCAGGATAGATTGATAGATAAAAATGTTGGACAGGCAAGATTTAAACATTTTTTTGTATTATTAAATTTTATGTTAATTTGAGGACTAAGGTGAGTCTGATTTAGGCTATAGTCCTTCGGATCACTTCTGTGCATCTGAGAGCTAAACAGTGAATAAGGATGACAGGAAAAGAATCGATGCCTTTGAGCTGTGATGTTGGAGAAGAGCACTGAACATCCCAATGAACGGCCAAGAGAATGAACAGATTTAGCTTAGAGAGAGTACATGCAGCTGGAGTGGTCTTTGCAGGCAAAAGTAAGCTTTGCCTCACATACTTTGGGCATGTTGCTAGGAAGTGCTATTCCTTGGAGAGGGACATAGTGCTGGGAAGAGTTGAGAGCCTTCCAATGAGAGGAAGACCCTTAGCCAGGTTGATTGACACATTGACTGCTACACTGGGCTCCTGTGTGTCAGGAAGTGTGAGGATGGTGCAGGATAGAGTAGGGTTCAGATCTTTGTTAATAGGGGTGCTATGAGTTATAATTGACTCAGTGGCACCTAACAGCAACATCAAATTTGAATAAGCAAAATCCTAAATAATATAGGCAAAGTATTAACAGAAATATAAAAAGGAGATATATATAGATAGATATATAGATAGATATATATATGAATTTTTATGATATAATACATAATATGTCTGGCTGCTAACTGAAAAGTCAGTGGTTTGAATCCAGCCGTAGTCTCCTACTGTCAAGGTTTACAGTCTCAGACACCAAGCTGAGAGTGGCTATAAATTGGAATTGATTTGTGTACATTGGATTTAATACTATTTGAACAATTTCCTGGGTTGGTACAAAACTCTTTATTTGTATCATTAATGTTGTTGCTTTTTTGAAATGGAAAAAAATAAGTATAAGCAGTTTAAAAATATCACCAAGAAGTCACCAATCTACTACTATATACTCATTGCCAAAGTAACAAATTTAAAAGAGGTCATCCTTTTTGGAGAGACCTATGAGCCACATTTTCATTCTACAAGTCATTAATGTCTGATAATGGAAATAGTTTGTGTAGTCTTCTATTTTCTTTATTTTCAAAATTAATTGTCAGACTTGGTGGGAGCTTTAAGTTGGTGTTACATAGCATTGTGTTGACTATAACCCATAACTAACCTGTGCCATCCTCAAAATCTCCATAATTCTCAAGCTCACTGTTGTAGTCTCTGTGCCAGTTCATCTCATTTAGGGACTTCCTCTCTTTCATTGAAAATTTAGAACTTGTTGTTGTTGTTGTTGTT